CAATAAATTAACATTATAAAACATCGATACAATTCGCAATAATCCTAATAGACACGCTTACCATATCGTGGATAAATTATATGATTCAATAAACAATAGAGATAACGCAAAGTTCAAGAATAATTTAACAAATAATATCGCATTACCAGAAGCAACGAACTTACACTGATCACGAACAATGGTATTAAAATAACACACCGATTACATACATGACTATGTACATCGATAGATTAATACAAACCATAAAAAAACCCTGGTGTCACCCAGCAAACAAAAAGGAACAGAAAAACCAAAAAACAAAAAGCCCCAAGACACAAGCACTCCGATAGAACCAAAAATTACGAAAACAACGCTCTGCTACCAAAATGTTTTTGCTCTTAGGCCGACGTGGCACCATGCCTACGTATTGCCGAATACAACTAAATTATATTACGAGGTTTATTACTCGCACGTCTTTCACAATTCGGTCAAGGTAACAATATAATAATATTAATACTCAGTGGCGTATATAGGGGGGGGGGGTTCAACCCCCCCCTCGAAATTTATGGTTAGTACGACCCATGTGTGCATTTCTTTAATCTATGTATTAATTAAAACCAAACTGTCTAGTATGGGAAAAAAATGCTCTCTCCTAATTTTTAAACAAAGTATACGCCCAATTCTTACCTACGCTTGCCCGGTATGGGGTAATTGTGCATCCTCGCACATCAAAAAAAATGCAAATTGTCCAAAACAAAGTCCTCAGAATAATTGCAAATGTTCCGTGGTTTGTCAGAAATCCAAATCTGCTATTGATACTTTGAATAAACTATCCGTTGATTTTTTTCCAAATATATGGTGCTTAATGTCAATATTAGTAACTTTACCAGTCTCAACAGCGTCATCAGAAAGATCGTTTTCGATATTGAAAAGATTGAAGTCGTGCTTGAGAAATAGTACAAGCGAAAATCGACTAACAGGATTATCTCATGTCAATTCATCGAAGTATTTCAATAAACACTGAAGAAGTGATAAATAATTTTGCAAATCTACCTCGAAAATTAGACTTTGTCCTGTAATTAAATTTATATATTCTAATTTTCATAGTTATTAAAAATAAGTTAATTTATAACCTTCATTTAGTATATATTTTTTCATAACCCCCCCCCCCCCCCCCCCCCCCCGAAATTAATTCCTATATACGCCACTGTTAATACTATAATAATTAATAATAATAATCAGGGAAGCACAGCTTCGGTTACCTCTGTATACTCGAGTCCTGTTGGATTATATCCCCCGCGACCGTGGATATCTTTCGAAACGTGCAACGGAAACTCAAGTAGATAGATGATTGACGTTGGTGGCGAATCACAAAGTAATACTAAAATAATAAAAAAGCTAACTGATCACCGTGATCAGTAATCAAGCCGCGGTGGCTTCACTAATGAACAATAAAAAAAAATTCAATTATATATAAAAAGGGTCTTCGCTATAACAAAATAAATTAGGGCGCAACAAAAATGTTCACACGATGGAAGTCACTCTAAGACAGCCCACCGGACTCGAGAATAGTTTCGGTGGACTCGGCGAAGATACCGATAAGATATCGGACCAGTTGTTCCGGGCATTCTCGAACAGAATAATTATTGGCATTATGTAAAGAATCAAATGTAATTTTTACTCTTTGTGAGCCGATTGGTGAAATGTTGGCTACACCTTTAAAATATTTAATAAAAAATTTACCTAATTTGACGGTAAGCAGATTACCAACATTTTTGTTTTCGGTAGACGAGATTATTATGTGAAGGGGACCCGTGTAGTCGTTAGAAAAAGTTTCATGCGTATTGGGTTGCCACACACCTAAATAAGAGACGAAGTCCAAGTTATGCAATTTAGTATTTAGCTGCGAATTAATTGTACCATCCAAAGACCCTAAAGTATATTCAATATATTATTTTTACCTGAATCCGTTGGTAGTGTGCGTTCTAAAGGCGATAATATTTAAAGGTGGTGACTGACCAGTGGAATATTTATGTTATTTTGATTGTGCATACAAAAAAATGGGAGAAGTGGCCTTATTTTTTTTTTCATATCATAGATAGCGTGTCGTTAAAATCCAAAAAGGTGAGTGGGAGAACCAATGCGGCCCGGTGAAGGCGGCATGTCGGAGCGGGTGACGGACAAAGTCGTCCGTTAGAACGAAGTTCGTGACAGTCAATGAAGAAAAACAGATTTTAATTAAAACTTTATATAGAATGTATAATAAAACTGACACAAAATATAAGATGAGCGAGCGAAAACAACATACGTGTGTGCGAACCGACTAAATATTCGTGACTGGTAATTAAGCTTAGGGTAAGCGTTTTGTATATGATTTTTTACAAAGAGCTCTAGAAATACTGATTTTAACTTATAAACGTATAATATTTAAAAAAGTTAGTTGATAGAATTATTTTTAATTTTATGAAATGATTAACAATGCGATGGTTTTGATTACTTTATGGGAGGGGAGGAATCGGTGTACCATACATTTTTTAAGGCAATTCACATTTTTGTTTAATAACCCATTTTATATTTAACATTAAGGCCCTCAAGTATCTAGTTGCTAACTGGCCATAAAATTGGAAGAAAAAAAAATTAAATTAAATTAATAGATAAATAAATAACATAGGTATTAAGTCAAAAAGAGGAGCTGACGGCGAATCAGATCATTTCCTAGTGCTAGTTAAGTTAAAAATAATGCTATCTAACCAATGGAAAGGGAGAAATAAAAGAACAAATAATGTTAAGTTCGATGTAGACAAATTTCAAGATGAAAATATACTAAATCAATTCCAATTAGGAATAAAGGATGCATTGAATGCAACCAGACATGAAGAGAAACTGGAAGTTTAAACAGGGTGAGAATTAAATAAGAACTTAGTTCTGGAGGTAGCAGATATCGTAGTTAAACAACCTTCTAGACCGAAAACAAAGCACTAGTTTAATCAAAAATGTGCAGATATCATTAAGCTTCGTAATGACTCTAGACTGAAAATGATTCAACACCCAACTTAGTCAAATAAAGACATATTAGAAAAAAAAGAGGAAAGAAGTACATAAAGTTATAAGGCAAGATAAAAGGAAAATAGAAAAAGAAAAGATTGAAAAATTGGAAAATGTAGATACAACCCTAAGTAGTTTTCTAGACACTGTAAGGTTTTAAAAAATGGGTACAAACCAATAACGCAATTTATTGTAATTGAAGAAGGTGATTTACTATCAAATAGTAAAAGTAAAGCAGAGGTGTTTCGAAAATATTTTAATGAACTACTAAATAGTGAACTCACGGTAAGTCAAGCAGATTACGAAGGAGAGGAAGACATAAAGGAAAGCTCAGAGAACGAAGAACTGGAACCAAGAGTAGAAATAGAAATGGTTATTAAGTAACTCAACAATAATAAAGCTGCAGGAGAATACCGAATTTGCGGGGAACTACTAAAGCTAGAAGGCCCTAGTCTAATGAACGAGTTTTTCAATCTTATATCTAGAATATGGCACAAAGGAGAAATTCCTATCGAATGGAGATCATAAATTATCTGTCCAATATTAAAAAAAAGGTGGCCCTAAATGTGTAAATAGAAAATTATAGAGGAATATCTCTCCTAAATGTGGGATATAAGATCCTATCGACGTTTCTCCTGAACAGAATACAAGATATATCAGATCGATTGATTGGCGAATACCAGTGTGGCTTTAGAAAAGGAAAGTCAACGATAGACCATATATTCACACTACGACAAATCCTTAGTAAACATTATGGATATAATAAGAACATTAATTTAGTTTTTGTAGATTTTAAACAAGCATATGATAATATAATCCGGAACAAATTATGGAATAATTTGAAAAGATTGGGTATCCCAACGAAAATAGTAATATTAATAAAATTATGCAATAATAATACAAATTGTATTGTCCGGGTACAAGGAGAACTATCAGAATCATTTGAAGTTGTGAAAGGATTAAGACAGGATGATGCACTATCGCTTGTATTGCTTAATTTGGCATTGGAAAGTGTGATACGGAGAATCTCACAACGACAACCAATGGAAGTAAATGGAAATCACACCCTCCTGACGTACGCGTGTGACATAATAATATTGGGTGATACAAACCAGGATATTGTAAACAGCTTGTCAAACCTAATGAAAGAATGCAAGCACATGGGGTTATTGGTAAATAAGGAGAAAACCAAATATATGTACATGACTAGGGAAGTACGTAGCGTTAAAGACGAATTAGATTTGCAAGTCGACAGGATATCATTCCAACAAGTTCATGACTTTAAATATCTCGGAGTCAACATAAATAATAAAAATTGCATGCATAATGAAATAAAACTTCGTTTACAAGCCGGTAATGGATGTTATTTTGCTCTGTTACATCTGCTAAAGTCAAAATTATAGTCTAGGAAAGCCAAAGAAACATTATATACTACGTATCTCAGACCAGCTGTCTTACGTATGTTGTACCTGGGCTTCAACAGCAATAACTCTGACACCCAAGTAGGGGAGAAAAGGTCAAATGAACAGATAAAGTAGCTATATAGGAAAGGAAGTATAACGCAATTTGTAAAAGGTGCAAGATTGGAGTAGGCAGGCCACGTCTAGAGAGCCGACAACAGTATTGTCAAGACGGTACTTGTAAATAATTTAAAAAGAAAAAGAGCATGTGGTAGACCGAAGCAACGTTAGTTAGATGCAGTAAAAAGGGATATAAAGGAGCTGAGACCAGATTGCAATGAAAATATTAACAATGCGTATAATAGAGAATGGAAAAATTTAGAATTGATAGCAAAGGGCCTAAATGACTTGTAACGCTAAAAAAGATAAATAAATACACAAAAAATAATGAATAATATAATCTCGGGATAACCGATTTCCAAAAAACCTTATCATCGACTTTTAAAAAAATTAACGGTTATTATATTTTTTCAAATATCCTTAAAGAAACGGTTACCGGTTACCATATCAAAATTAAACGATAATCGGTTACTGGTTTTAAAAATATCTTTGGCTCCTACCGAAGCCGATTACCAACTTTATTAGAAACGGTTTTAAGCCCTAGTTTATACTTTGAAAGCTTAGTTTTGATTAATATTTTAACAACATGCACCACGATAATATGTAACACACTGGTTGAGAACCATAGCTCTAAGGGATAATTTAATATCCTAAAAATAACATTCTAACTATCTAGGTTAATTCAGAAATGGATGTTTAATAAAAAATTTACTTGCATTTTGGTATACAATTTTTTTTCAACTTAAATCAAATTCATGCTGTTTTTTTTTTTTTAGCTGAAATATAATGAATGTATTTATATAAAAATAAATGCATTTAATAGTCTTATATTCACAATTATTAGAGAACAGAGTACAGAGCACACATATTGTGAAGTACATATTCAAATATCAAACTTAACTAACTATGAATGGAATAATAAAGCTTATCATATAATATATTAAATTTATATTATCTTATATATTTCTACTAAAATAAAAACAAAATATTAATAAAATAATTTATCATTTATTCATATATTCTTAATAATATCATATATATGACAAAACCTTAAAAGCTATTATTTTGGACAATAAGTTCTCCAGCCTATCACAATACACAAACAATTTATAGAAAAAAATATATCTTAAATATATGTGTATATATATCATAATTGAAACATATTACATCACCATTGCTTCAAACTAGAATTTGTGCAGTTAACTTATCAAATTACAGATGACATGTTAATTTCAAATAAGTTTTACCTATAATTTAAAGAAATATTAGGAAAATAACTATACATTTAGCCATTTTTCAATATATATTAAAATATTTAACTATTTCAACTTTAAAGAAACCCACTCAATATCTAAATTTATCAACTTTTGGTAATAATGATTGTTCACAGCAACTTTAATTTTGGTAGACAAATTATAAAATTCATTAAAGAGTAAATACATTGTTTGAATTAAAATTTTAAAAATAAAGAAAATTTATAATTTTAATATAATTTATATAAATAATACTATATACACTATTAGTAAAAAAGTATTTAAAATTAATAAGGTTTAAATTAAATTAATTTTTTTTTTTTAATCATGTAAATCATGGAATACGGCAGTAATGACTAAACATCAAATGGTACGAAATGGTTAAATATGACTTAGTTGTTATTTAAATTTATCAATTTTGGGCAACAGAATAAAATAAAATAAATATTGAAAGACTAAGTCTAATTCATTATATGTCATCTTATTCATTCCTAACACAATATTAAATGTAACAAAAATATAACAATCCAGAGACCAAAAATTTCACCAAAATAGAGACTATTAAATATTAACTTGAGGCTATGAAATAATTATTAGTTATTATTGCTCTAAGTTTAAAATATATATTATATTTTTTAAAATACACAGCCAAATGGAAGCAATTTGAAAAAAAGAATCAAATTAAATTAAATTTTGCAACATTTGTGATTGGAATGTTGAAGTGGGAATGTTGTTTGGTATAAAGAAAATAAAAGTAAAAAAAAATTTAAAAAAAATTGAATCTTGAAAGTTAGCACCTTTTAAGCATTCAATTAAATTAATCTATTTAATGATAAATTAATATTAGTTATTTTAAATTTAAGTACTTGGACTAAAGCAATTATTTTTAAGCCCCAACCATAGTCATTTAATATGATTATTCAGCCTTAACAAGATCATCAGATGCAGCAACTGAAGCAATCTCAGAAAATGATTGTTCTAAACATTGTTTTAATTCTTGATAGCTTACTACTAAAATTGTCTTTTCATCACGTGAATACAAACAAATCTATAAATAATGAAATAAAATTATAATTCAGTAAAACAATTTTTAAAAATAATTTACAGTGTCTGCAGATCCAGAATCAAGTTTGTTTAAAGTCTGAACAATATGTGACATATCCAACCATGGACGTCCTTCTTCAGTCACTTGATGAAATAGATAGTCCCTGAATAATTTTAACATATATCGGTCACCAGTTTCTGACCAAGCAGGATCTAAATTGAATCTAAAAATAAATATAATAAAACATAAAAAAAAATAAAAATTCAATATTATATAGATGTAGTACTCAGGTCGCTCATTAATAGATCCAAGTTTCACCAGTAACCGAAATAGACGTCCATTTTCCATTTCTTTAGACAACTCGTTTTCTAAACTATCCGAGTGATTTTGTGCCGCATCCAATTGTGTATAAAATCTAGCTCCTATCATTGGCATTAACTCTGTAATATGCCGTCTTTGATTACTTAATAAATACCTAGGAAATAATAGAAATAGTCATCATAATATATACTAAGATTTAATTTGTCATAGGAAACAAACCTTATCAAATTACGAATATCATTACTGTAAGAACGAGCCATTAAATCAATAGAAGTAGTAAGATTATCTTGGTGTACAGCAATAAGAGATCGACAAGCTAATGCTAATAAAAGCTTACCAAAATCCGTTAAATCTTCTTGCTAAAAGAATTAAAACATATTTTTTATGATAGTTTAATCATTTAAACAAAAATTGGAATTCCACAAACTTGAAAATGACCAATAATATTTGAACTAGCCATATCATTCAACAAAATATCCATTACAGCTACACAGTTGATTCGCAGTCTTGCTCTAGTATTTAAATTTCCTGTCACTAAAACCCTATTTAAACAAAGACCTCGTAGGGCTAAGCCAGATCCGTGTATTGCTCGAAGTGCTCCACTAAGTTGAATAGCGTAATTCCACAATGTATTTTCAGATAACAGCCCATTACTAAAACAATGTAAAATATAAAATTTACAAGATACTTAATATAATATCATAAGCTTGTGAAATTTTTTATTGTTCCAATAATAAGTAAAAATAAAATATTACAACTAAAAATTATTGAAATCCATTTGCTGGAAGGAAAGTATGAGAATCACTGCTTTAATATAAATAAAAACTTTAAGGAATTGTGACAATATAAAAATTGAATAAAAACATTAAAATAATTATTTATTTTATGTTAATTATAACATTACAATTTTTAAATGTACATCATATCAATTTGAAAAAGATATTAAAACTGAAATTGTTCTAAAAAATCAAAATCAAAAAAACACAAAACAAATATCAACAAGTATTAATGAATTTTAAAGAAAATAATAAGATGTAACTGCAAAATTTAAATGTAATTAAGAATGTTATTAAGAATTCATTCAATATTTACCTATGTTGATGGCGTAAAATTGCATTTTTTGTGTGACTATAAGGTCGAGGTGCATTTGGATCAGAACTAAATGGATCATTATATCCATTAAGTATTTCGTTGGAATTAAAATGACGTGTTTGTAAAGACTCAGAATCCGGATGATAATTAAAAACAAATATCAATGCTAACATTTTTAACAATAAATACAAAATTTACTATTATGTTAATTGTATTGTTATGTTATATAATCAAATTACTTACAACTATCATTAAAAGCTTTGGTTATAAATACATCTTTTAACTGAACAATATTTGCATGGTTGATTTTTTTCCATGCTTCAATTAATGGAGTATATTTTGTAATTGTTTGATGAAAACCTATAATATAAACATAAGCAATTTTAAAAATGTCTAAAATGTATGAAAAATATTAAGTTTAAAATTATATATGGTTGAAACTACTAGCATATGCAAGAACAGCAAAAATTTTAAAATTAAAATAATAATAAATTCAATGCTCTTTTTATTTTGGCCTATTAATTTGAAGTAAAAAAAAAAAAAAAAGTATAAAATAATTTCAATATATTCAAATAAATTAATATAACTAATACTTTGTTCACTAAAGCAAATTCATAATTAAAAACAAATTAGTTTGTTTAAAAATGTTTACTATGAATTCGTTTTAAACAGCATTTTTCTCCAGTCTTGGAATTTGTTGCTCGATAAGTAGATGTACTATAAGTTAATATTTTGGAGGAGTGGCCATGTATATCTAAAGGATACACATCATGATAATCTTCCACATTTTCTGGTAAATCTAAACATTTTGAAGTTGTAAATTATTTAAAATTATTTAACATAAAATATAATAAACCTGGCCATTGGTCTGAATCAGGTGAAGCTATAGATAATGCATTTCTGTGCAACAAATCTCTTCTCATATCATCTTGAGCATATAATGAAGAAGTAGGAGATTCAACAGATGACATTGATAAATATCCAGATGGATCATCAAAAATATTACTATTGGGTTGATTAGTTCCATTAGAATCTGGAGGATAGAAATATGTTGTACCATTGACATTTTTCTAATACAAAATGATTATAGCAATAATTAATAATTTAATAATTTAAAACCAAATACTTAAATTTATAATTAATATAAATTTAAACTATCTACCTGATATGCTTGTATAGGTTGAGATTTGTCTTTAGCGTACATTGAGGAACCATCAGGAATATTTAATGAATTAACTAGATTTCTAGGTACGAAATCAACAACTGGTATAGATGCCTGAAATTTGTCAACTGCCTATCACAACATGTGCTTAGTAATTTAAAAAAAATATATATTTGTACATGCTATGTCTATATAATTCAATAATTGACCAAATGTTTTGCAAGGTAGGATACAATAATATTTAATAAATTACTGTATCTTAGAGTACATATATATATATATATATATATATATATATATATATAGTATATTATATATTGAAGCAGTGATTTATCAACTTTAGAACGCAATTAACTAATAGCAGTGAAAAAAGTTATTATTAGGTATATTTAAATACATTATTTTAAATATTAACTAATACTATTATTGACTTCTATATATATTTTAATGGTTTTAATTTTCATAAATAAAAAACTGCCCCAGATTGAGTTGAATATTTATCTAATTTGTGAACCACAATACAATTATCTTACATATAATTTTCTCTAATAAAAATAAATTAAGATACAAGGTACTTGCTAACCTTTTTCATTGATGCATTTGACTGATTTATATCCAAATTTGAATAGTTTTTTGATAATGATTGATTCGATAATGATTGGAACAATGTTGATTGAGGAGAAACATTCTGTTGTCGTTTCTATAAAAAAAAAATTACAATAAACTAAAAAGTAGAAGTATAGAAGTACTTAAAATAAATGATAAGATAAAATAGTATATTTATAAAATACATTTCAAATATACAAAAATTAAAAAAAATAATATTATAAGTAAAAATAAATAAATAAAATAGATGTATGTAATAATCATTTTATTTAAATCTAAAAATAAATCTATACATGACTGTACATATAAACTAAAAATGTCACATTTCTGTTTAGGGCATAGATTTAAACATTTTAACATTAACATATTAATGATTCTCAAAATGTTAATGAAAATAAAAATTACAAAAGTAAATGATTATCTTAAATAAATAACTTGATTTAAATTAATTACAATATGTAAAGTTCATTACCAGATATTATTTATTTAAACAATAAAATATATTATTCAAAATAAGTAGAACTATTTTTAAAAACTTTGGATAAAATTATTTTTAAAATTTAATAAAGTGAAATATAAATGTATTCCCCTTGACCTTAGAAAATTGAGGTCAAATTTTTTAGTTTCTATATAGTAATTTTACGACAAGACCAACAACCCACTAATAAATTAAGTATAATGACCTGTTTTAAGTAAATAATTTTCATATAAAATTATTTAACATACCATATAAGTAGCAAGTTTTGATTCTTCTGGAGGGCCATTTTGCAGTAGGTTATATTGAGTCACTAGAGCCATTGGATCCATTTTTTGATCTCACTTTTTTAAAATAATAAAATAAAAATTAGTAGAATTAAAAAAAATAATATATTGAAAATTTTTAATAAATGTATTAAAAAAAAAAAATTAAGATACTGCTGGAAAAATTGAGAGTAATTAAGAATATGGGAATCAAAAATATTCTTCCAAAAATGCAGTAAAATTAGAAAATACCTTTTAATTTAACACTTAATTTATTAATGTATCTCAAACCATAAGTTGTTTATGCAAACAATAGCATCAACAGAACCTAGGTCCATAGGCCATGGCTCCATGGATATGTTAAGGTAAAGGGAATAAGAGAAAAATAAAAACTACTCACCTGAGATATGTAAGAATACTTTAATTCCACAAACAATTAAAGACAGTTGTTTACATCACCCTAGTTGTGTAGAAAGATATCGTACAATTACAATTTAATATTGTAATTTGAACCTACTAGTCCAATAATAAGTAAATATAACCAATGGAAGAATGGTTACCATAAACAATGGCACAGTGAATCATTTTTACAGTGACGCTTAAGACCAACGATACTAGAATTATAAATAAATAGTTTATTACACAGACGATTCAAAACATAAACAAGCAATTTTGTGTATAGTTGCAAAAGTTATACACACACACACATACACACACACTCACACCGCGAAAAACTGATATAAGACTTTCGACTACCAAATTGTTGGTATCGTTGAGGACGTGCGTCACAACAAGCAGTAGTTACAATTGCAGTTATTGGTGCCTCTTAGCGTCTTCGTTTATCCTTCGCTGTCTAGTAGTTAAGTATTACGTTTTTCGTTTAATGTTTTCAAAAACGCACTTCTCATACACATCAGGTAAATCCGTATTATTAGTAGTGTATCATTATCAACCCGCGCCACCAGCTGCAATATATTGTAGAGGCACTACTTTGTTATTGTTTAATATGAATTCGAAAATTATCTCATGGAAGATAAAATGCGATAATATTCCTTATTTTAAAGAATTTAAAACTGTAACAATGCGTACAAGTGGGCTTCATAAGTATTCTTATATTTTCTATGGTCTATATATCGGACTACAACATACCTGTAAGCAGTGGCGCGGGATTGTAAGGGGCTGTAACCCCCCCAAATTTTCTCCGATGTCTAGGTTAAAATTTACAAATTTGAAATATGAAGAGCTAGTATTGAATAACTAGTATCATTGATTTGCATAATTTTGTTGATTGTTAAATGTGTTATATTTTTACCTTGACCCCCCCACGAAAAAAAATCCTGTATATAAAACTATATGTAGTCTTATTTTTACTTTTTAACATGTATATATGTGTCAGTGTCGCACGTTCTTAAAATTGACAATTTAATTATATATATATATATATATGTATAATAAATAGCTATTATAAATTGTATTCGTGTGTACACTGTATAACGAAACATGTAATATTTGTTTTTCGTAAGTAAAATTAGGTTCTTCTAGGATATAATGAAACAAGTCTGACTGCCGACTGGTGTTTTCGTTGGGGTGAGTGAGACACCCCCCAAGATGGACCTGTACACTCTTCTTAGTATTAATAGGTATCAGTAAATTAATTAAAATGCTGTTTTATTTACACTTCAAAATATTTAAGAAAAAGATAATATTAGTAAATCTAAATAAGAAAGAAAATAATATTCAGTAAAATTGGTTTTATAATTCGGTTGACTAGTCTTTTATTTGACTTTAATTTATGAAATCGTCATTACTATGCCAGTGTAATAATAGAGATTAAAGACAATTTGTCCAAGTGGATTATGTTATAATATACACATATTCAAACATAGCTAGAATTATATTACCCACCTGAAGAAGACTAATTGCAGTTCACACCATATTCTAGAAAAATATTTCAAAGTTAACTCCTTCTTCATATATTCTAATTAAAAATAGATTATAATATTTTAATACTAGTTGAAAACAAAAAAATTACTGCACTTCTTAACTAAAACCTATAGTAAACCATGATTAATCATTGACATACAGATTTTTCAGTATCACATAAAACACAACAGACCCCTTACTTAAAGGACTAATAAACTGCAATTTAAAAAATATAAGCAAAATTATTTTGTAAATCATAAGTTTCTACACTAATGAAGTTTAATAAGGACACCTTATAATAAACAATATATTTTAATTTATATATTATGAACAGTAAATATATATCATTAATAATGAACAAAATAAAAAATTATCAATACATTTTTATCAAATAATCAGTATTTTAGTAATACTATTCAGTATTTAATAATAACATTTTAATATATAAAATACATTTTGAAGATCTTGATCTTTGGGTAATATATATATTTATAATTAATTTTGAAAATAATTTTAAAATTCAGATTTGTAGCAGCTCAACTAAGTTTAAATAGATTTATGAGACTGCCCAGTCTTTTATCCGATCACCTAAAGCTTTCATAGATTGTAGGGTTTTTGATTTACGTTTTACTTTACTAAGTTCAAGAGCAAATTCTTCACACCGACAATCAAATACATCTTTACTGTCAATGTTATTGTGTAATTTGTCATTCAGGAAAGTTGTAAACATAGCTGTTTCTGTAAACCATTCTAAGAAATTTCGATGAGCAGTGTTAATACCAGCATTGATGAAATGTTGTTTCTGAAACATAAAACATATAAAATATTTAATATATAACACTTAAGTCATTTTTCACTTATTGGCATAACAAATATATTGTAAATAATCTGATATATTTATACATATCAAGAATACTTTTGAAATAAAATAAAATTGGTCACAAAATATAATACTACAGATATTTAAATAAGATTATCACTTCTTAGAAAACTTTTAAAAATAATTATAACAATATATACTAGATATCTAGAATGCTATGTATTTATCTATTTATTCAAAAAACTTAATCAAACTAAGACAAGATTACAAAAAAACTAAATACAATTTTCAATTAAAACTATTTTGTAATTAAAATGTACATTAATTGCTGTAAAAATGTCAATGAAAATTATTTATTTGATTTTATAAAATTATAAGAATAAACACATACTTGTCATTATGTAATCTCTAGTTAATAAATGATATTAATTATTTACATAACTACATCAACAATGAAGCTTAAATTACCTGAAAGTGACTATGTTTGTTTTCAGAATTAGGAATAATGAATCTTCTATAATGACCAACCAGTTCAACAAATAACCGCATTAAAGATTCTGTAGCTATAACTGCTTTGGTTGATTGATCATCAAACTCTACATTTAATCCAATTACATTTTTTAAACCTTTTGCAATTCTTGATGGTATAACATTGTGTTCATCTTTTATTTTGCGCAATGTTTTATTAGTATCCAAATCAAAAATAAAGACCTGATAAAAAATTAAAAAATAAATATAAAATAAAACATAACAATATGTTAAATTTGTAATGAGTATTATATATCTACTTGATCAGTTTCACTTAATTGTGAAAATATTTCAGATTGATTTTCAGTTTTCAACAAACCAATGATATAAGGTGTTGGTGCTTGAATGAAATCAGCTATGGATACCATCTGAGATGGCAGAACTAATACAAGAGTATGTTGCCAAGTAAAAGGATATAAAGAAGATGTTAGTCCTTCAATGCAACTTGATAACAAACTAAAAAATATGTAATTGAACAAAATCTTATGGACTAAAATATAAAATATTTAAGTTTTATAGAAATTAAATAATTCAAAATTTTTAAAACTACAATGAACATTTTTATAATAGTCAATAATAATAAAATAATAAAAACAGAATTCAAATGCATACATTTTGAACAGAAATATTAAGTCACATAGATGGATTTATAATAAATAAATAATTTACCTTATTGACTTGCTAAGAAGTATTAATTTTCTTTCCAGCAACATTGTAGCTAACATTTGATGAAACGTATTAGGTTTAATAATTTGTAAAAGTTTTAAAATATAATTTTGTTCTTGGTGAGAATCAAATGATATTCGAATAACTCCTTCATGTGAGGAACTAGAATACATTTAATAATTATCAATGAATTTTATAATTTCTTAACAAAACATAAAAAAATCAAATTAAATGGTCATTAATATACTTTTTTTTGTTATTAATGACTAAAGGTCAAAATAGTTTTTAATTTAAATTTTAAACTATCATATATATATATATATATATAATGTAATACAATTTTGATTATTTAATATTAATTTATACATTTTACAATTAATATTTTCAGTTTAATAAGAAATTTAATTAATAATAATATGAAAAACATTTTGGTACTACTTAATTTCTGTTAAAAAGTTATAAAATTACTATACATTTAACTTTTTTAAAAGGGTACATAGAATCAAAATCAAAAATTAAAATATATTATTATATAAAAATAAAAAATAAAATGCAAAGATAAAATGTTTTAAATACATTATGGATTTTACAAAATTAGTTAATTATATGCAATTGGTTTCAGTTTATTTATAATTAGTTGATACTAAAAATAAGTCACTTACAAATATTTTTAATTTATTACTTAAAAAGTACCTAAAGAAAAAAACAAGTAAATTGTATAATAGTTTTCAAAATGAATATTATTTTCCAATAATTTTTGATAATATGCATTTAATAGTTAACAACAAACTCATAATATAACAAAATATTGTCTTTCTTACAGTGCAGTACTGGAACTTGCAGATTCTTGTGGTATATAAATAGAAGAACTAACATCTGGAAAAGGTGTATCATATAATAACCCTATAAATTTTTTCATATCAAATTCTGATAAACCATGTCTTGCTTCAATTTCTTGTAACACCTGTAAAATTATGTTTTAAAAATAAAAATAAATTTACAAGTGTACTCAAGTTGGATAAATTTATCAAAATAAAAAATATACCTAGTGTGTTGTATATGCATATAAATATATTACCTTAAAGTAAAAACTGTTAGCTTTTATTGAAGAATATAAACAATATACCAATGGTAAACAATATGCAGCACCTTCTGGTTGCACTCTATAACAATAACCATAGTATCGTCTACCATTCTCATCAGTAACTGTCAATGAATAAGTTCGACAATCATCTGCAGTAAATGGCCAAACATGTGCATCAGGAAAACATAAATTTTCAATTTGTTCAGGAATCTCAGCCTGAAGTAATAAATTATATATTGATTATTTTTTTTTTATTTAAAATAAATTAAAAATTTTGATTAATAATAATCATTACTTGTTCAGGATATTTAAATTTTATGTAAGGCAATTTTTCTTTAGTAGAACTTAAGTCTAGTCCAATTAATAAAAGAGCTTGAAAAAGATGATTTTTATCTTGAATAATAGCTGATGAAGATGAAGGTTTTACTTTTTTAACTACTCGACGTAAATACCCCTTACGCTCCAATGTCTGTTCATGAATATTCTTTTCTAGAGAAAAAAATTAAAATTAATAAAAAATATTTAATTTCGATATTACCAAAGCAAATAGATGGAAAATTGTAATAAAATAAAATGTCTTATATTAATATAATCTTATAACATTTGATTTCTTTCTAGAATTATAAATAAATGTATATTCTTATTAATGATAACTATTTATTTAATGTAAATTTATTTGGTGTTGCTCTTGTAAGTGGACCATCGCTATGTTTCTACTCTAGCATGCGGTCTACAGTATATGATTGTAGACCGCAAGCATTTATAGTCTACATACCTACTAATAAAATATAATAATAATAAATAAATAATTATGAACTATAATTCTCTAATATTTATTATAATAAATATGTGCACACAGCCATATTATACAATCGACAACAAATATATAAATAATAAACTTATTAAATACCTACATAATTGTTTTGAATTAACAACTTAATCTAGATTATAACTCTGTTCCTACTTTATTGTGGGAAAATATCATGTATTATCAATAACCTTCCTTATAAATAATAAACATAAGTATATTTAATTTTGTTTTCTGCTCTAATATACAGTCTATGTATATGATCATAGAATGCTTACAAGAACCACATAATTTATTTTGAGTTAACTCAAAACTTATAAAATCGACTAATTAAAATGTATTAATCATTTTTAGTATTTGAGTATATTTTATTTATTTTTGGAAAAATTATAACATGAAATTAAATTTACACTATAAATATTATTACTCAACAATTAAGGGACAAATTTATAAAAAAAATTTATTAATTTTATAAAAATACTCTTAAATTCTATCAAAATAGTAACACTAAAGAATGTTGATTATATTGCATTATTATTTACAATCATTATCTATACTTAATAAATTTTAATAATTAATTTCAGTTATTTTGTATATTATTTTAAATATTGTTGGCTCTAGTAATAGACAAAATCTTACTTAAGTTATATGTAGAGAAAAATTTCTATATTAATAAATGCACTATGAAATAATTTGAATAAAGAGTAAAAAAATATCTACATTGAATAATAAAAATAATAAAATACTTTTTAAACAAGTTTCATAATTTGTTTGGCTATAAACTATAAAGCTAAATTATAATTGTTGGGGATAACATTATATGAATGTTTTTGTTAAAAATTAATGAAGCACACTAGTACTTTCTGTGATTTACAATGTGACTACTATGTTATAAAAATACCGATAAAATTAAGTGGATACATCATAATTAATATTTAAAATAAAATACTACGTATTATGATGAATTATAAATAAAATATTAATAGTCATTGATGTTATTAAAATATTTATGAAATAACTCAAATACCTACCAACTAAATTATTTATTAATCCATTAGAATTATCTTCATTATTAGAAATAGATTCAGAATCACTTTCTTCTCGAGTTTTAATAAATGTACCATATGCTTCATTCATTAACATTTGAATCTATTAAAAATGAAATAACTTCATAAATTTCAAATATAAATTAATACATTTATCGTTAAAAATTATACTTTTCTCTTATCGCTAATAGTCATATTATTATTGTTTGATCTTGAATCCAATACATCTAAAGAGTTGGTTTTCAAAAATGAATTACATTCTTCCAAATTCTTTTCAGAATTATGAACTTTAATTAGTGAAGACTATATTCAGGAAAAAAGTAAAAATTAATATTATTTAAAAGTATGATAAATGCATAAAAAACTGATGAATAATTAATCAAAAAGAAGATTACTATTTTAATTAATATTCAGAACTTACCGCATAATGTAGATTACTTTTATCAGGATCACAGACCCGTGCATCACCAATAAGTGATTTGCAATTATCAACACCATAATTATTTAGCCTTGAGTTTGGTGTTACAAATACTGGTTCATCATAAATATGTTCGGTATCATTTTCATTACAGGATTTTATTGTTAAATAATTCTGTTCATCTGTATGGTATATATTTAATGAACTATCATACACTTTCGGGTTTTCCAAACTTTTTAAAGATTTTGCCAGATTAAATAAATTAGAAATTTTAGAATTTTTATTTGAATTATAATTGTGTTCAACAGATTTTTCATCTTTTGTTCCATATGTATGAGCATTTTTTTCTACAAATTTTTCTAATTTTTTCAACAACAATTTTGGATCAGATTTAGAATTTTTATAAGACTCCATCATGCCTGGAAGGTCTGGATCAGTTTGCTTATCATGAGTAAATGTTCTTGGAGGCTTTTTAGGAGGTGGGCCAACTGGTAAAGGTGTATTCAGTGTATGTTCAATATTTTTTTTTAGAATTTTTGGTTTACTATCAATAGTGTTATTATTTTTTAGTTTTTTTTTCAAACTTTGTAAAAGAACTTTTTGATCAATTAACAACTGATTATTATCATCTTTTACAAATCGAGGCAAGTGTAATTTATAATTTAGGTTTTCAGTCTTATAACTATGAGAATCAATTTCTGAGATTTGATTATATTTGCTAGAGCTTGAATTACTATTATTAAATATTTTTACATTATTTACCGCCACAGCCTTTGAATTATGATCCACAAATTTTTTTGAAATGTTTATATCTCTCCGAAAAGCAGGGGTCCTCTTAATATTTCTTTTGTTCAGATTTTTTTCATGCCGTTGGTCTTCCAACTCGTGTACTGCCGGTTTTATTGAATTTTGAAATGATTCGAACCGTCTCTTCAATACATCTACAGTAATTTCGTTCTCAGAATTCATTATTTTAATAATACCATTTCTGAAAATGTCACATTTTACGATGAAGATCGAGTATCAGACTAATAAAAAAAAACCAATTGAGTGAGCACAAGAAAAATTACGAATATTAATTATTATTAATTACACTAGTTTTTATCGCGAATAATTACTGATTGCATGTAGTCGTGACACGACGCCTTATCAACAAACAAATTGCGAAGAATGCAATATTACATTATCCCTATGTGTATACAGCTAATAAGAATTTCAATATAACAATATAACGTAGTTCATCACCGATTGAAAGAAAACGATCATAGATTAGTATATAAGGCACCAAGATAGATTACGAGCTGCGTGCTTTGCAATTAATTCAATCTAATCCAAACTCCAAATACCGTACACGGTTTATGGTAACTGTTTTCGAAAATTCTATTCGTTTTCAATGGATAGAAAAGTGCAAGCATACAAATATACGAGTGGATCATTGCAGTTAATTCTACAATCCGCTCACGCATGCGCATAACAATAACTTATATCACAATATTATCAATATCTTATCAATTTTATTTTTTCAATTATATAGTAATTTTAATCGATTTATTTTATTTCCTAGATATTATTTTATTCATAAAGAGTAATATTATTGGTTTTTTTAGATAATTTTATTAAAATTGTAGGTTATTTTATGATAAATTAATTTATATGATTTTTTTACTATTAAGTATTTAATGTATGAAATTCACAAAAAAAAAGAAGGTCCTATGACTCCCACAGGAAATGAGATTTGGTTGAAGACAAAAAAAAAAAAATAAATTACAAGTTCTATAAAGAAAAAGAAAATATTTTTAAATTTTTAAAAATTAAATGACTTATAAAAAATGTAAAGAGATTTATTTTATTTCCTAGATAATATGTTCTTTAACAAGAGTTAAACATTTTTGTTTTAGTTAAATTTTAAATTATTTTATTTTATGTTAATTTAAATGATTTTACTGCTAATAAGAATTTAATATATGAAATTCAAAAAAAAAAAAAAAAAATGAAAAAGAGTCTTTGACTCCCGCTGGAAACGAGATTAAGATGAAGATGAAAAACAAATCCAAATCCTATCAAATAAAATAAAATATGACAAATTTTTTAAAAATTAAATGATTTATAAAAAAATTTAAATTAATTCATTTTATTTCCAATATCTTATTTTATTATTATTTGATAATTAAATGAGAGTAATTATTTTAAGTTGATTTAATTTATTTATAATTCTTAACTTGAATTATAAATAGTTAAGTATTAAGCTTTATCTTAATCGCTATATTATGTTTTAACATTTTTTAAGTAAATTACAATATTATAATATTTATACCATTAAACATTTAGAGTAAAAAATGAAAAGGGGGTTCTTTGACTTCATAGATAGATATCCGGGGGAGGGGGGCTTAGCCCCCTTAATATTGTAATAGTCCCCCAAAATTGAAACTTTGTTAAAAATGTTATTCGTTGTTTTTATAATTATCTGTTGGATTTTTTTGAAAATCGTAAAATTAGAAATAATAAAAAACTATTTACAATACCATTAATAATAGCAATTAGTTTGGCTACTTGCGAAAGAAGTTTCAGTGCAATGAAAAAAATATAAACTTGACTTAGGTTCAGCGATGTTTCAATACTATATATATATATACTAAACATCAAATTATCGAGTGACTACTATATTGAAAATGATATATCGAAAAATATAAAGAGCGATGATATTTTGAATATCTTTGCTGATACAAATAGGTATTTGTAATTAAAATAAAATATTAATTATTTTTAAATGTATGTTATTTAGTGGTTTTTTTTAATATAATTTAAATATATCTATATTTTAAGAGTAATAAGTCTTACTTGTGCATGAGAAGGGGTGAGGGGACGAAGCCCCTGCGGGTTATTTTATATTAAATTATTATAGCGCGCCCCCCAAAAAAATTCAAATAAATGTCCACCTATGCTTGACTCTCGAAGGAATCTTGATTTAAACAAAAAAGAAAAAAAAATACTAGTTCTGAAAAGAAACAAAAAAAAAAAAAATTAATAAATTTGTATGCTAAGTTGATTTAATTTATTTATAATTTTTAACTTGATTTGTAAAATGTTAGATACCTATTAAGCTTATTCTATGAATATGACCACATGCTATAATAATTGATAACGATTTTATTATTATCTTGATGATATCGACCACCTGTTCTTTATCATTCATTTTTTCGAAATAATTTTATGCATAGAACATATGTCAATATTTGATCAGTGATTATTTAGGCCCTAAGTTTAAATAGTTTTTTTTCTTACGCATTTACAATGATAATTGTATTAATATTACATAATACTTTATTTGGCATTATCGATTATAATATGACATTAAATCCGATCAATTTCACCCTATATCATAAACTATAAATGTAAATCAATTTATGCATTGATTATTGGTTGGTTTGGAAAGAATAAATAAATCATTGAAGATAAATATATTATATTACAACTATGTTACCCAGAGGAAAAAATGGTTATTCTTGGGAATTGGGTTCAGGAACTCAAGACAGTGAGGTAAGATAATATAAATTATATTGAGTTTTATTTAGGATATTGAAACAAGAAAAAGTAAAATTTCAAGACAGATATTTTTATTTATAGATTTTAGAAAAATATTGATTGGTTTATTTCACTAATTTTTGTAGTTTTAAAAATAAGGTTTAAAACTTTCATTTTCTCTTTTATTATCCTATTTTGTATATTTCTTTTAATATTAGCTCATTAATTTATTAAAAATCTGCTATCAGCAAAGGCATATTGGAATATGTATTATTTGGGGTTTCAAAATAATTTTTTGTAGCAAACTCGTAAAGGCTTCATTCCCTATACTGTCCTTACAAACATTTTAAAACTTATTAAATATCAATATAGTTCTTCTATTTTACTTAAAATATATTTTAATAATAAAAAAAATAAATATTTATAGTACTAGACTACTTAGTTCCCCTTCGACCTTTTCTTTTGAAAAATGAACTTTATACCTACTGCACTGTCTATGTACATAGTATATAGTAGGAATAACTGGTGACCCATATTACATTTTCAAATTATTTCATACTATTTTAGTATTTATTGGTATTTCATTATATTATGTTGATCGTAAAATGTAAATATTATATTCTTATCTAGTATTGAACTGTAGCTCAAATATTAAATGTCTAAATATAATATATTAATAATATATATCCATATTGACATAGGTAACATAATTCTAAGTGTAAAATATTTATTTTATTGTATTGGTTCAGTTATAAAAGTAAATTATATCCAATAAATGCTAATTATCAATTTGAATGACTATTTTTTTTTTTGCTTTCTTTACTCTGGCCCACCAGATTTCAAAGTTTTATAAATTGGTCTTCTGAGTTGTACATCCTTCGTATATAGATACTGTGTAAGTTTTAGTGCATGTGAAGACGTCCTTGTGTTTATAAACAATTAATAAATATTAAAAATAATAATATGAAATCTAATAACATGTTTACCCTGACTAATAGTGTTGCGATTTTATAAAATTTTGTATATACCCGACAATGAATTTTTAATTTGAAAATTGGTTGTACATTATACATATATTAATATTCCAGGCTACGCATTAATTTACTTATTTCTATGTATAAGTTATTTATTTACGTATTTATTATGTTATTCTTAACTTACTAACTTTCAGAATATATCTAAAATTTATCATAAAATTAATAATAATATTTTATGTATGGATTCCTATATATATTATATTAAAAATTTAATTAATTTCATGAAAATATTTATTTTGGATATATTTTAATTAATTTACGGATAATATTAGCCTTTGCTAGAAAGAGATACTGAAGATCCAGATGATGTACTATTTACATCTCGCCCAAGTTCATCAACATTTGTGGCTGATATGCTTAGTTCACATTCTCATAAGATGAATAAACAACATAATCAACTTGACCTCATATCTAAATCAGTATCAACTTTAAAAAATGTTTCTGAAGATATAAGTGTAGAGTTGGATCATCAAAATGTGTAAGTTAACTTATATTTTCAATTAAGAGTTTTGAATTCTAAACTAGGATTTATAAATTAAATAAACTTTACTACAAATATAAAAATCTGTATTATATTTTTTTATTAATACATTAAGTGAAGAATAAATTTAAATTATAGCTATCTTTTGAAAAAATTTTTTAGAATGCTTGAAAATTTGAGTACTGAATTAGATAAAACAGAATCAAGATTAGATATGGTATCAAAGAAAGTGGCACAAGTTCTTCAATTATCTGATGGTAATATATATATGTAAATCATATTTTTCAATTGTATTAAAATATATTTCCATTATATAATATTAAAACACTTAAATTTAAATAATATAAACACATCTTACCTTGTATGGTGTGGGCCTATTATTCAATCACTTATTTATTTTTTTATCAACTTTTTATTACCATTGATATTTTTTTCAATATGTGATATTTTCTTAAAATAGATTTTATTTTATACATTATATGTATAAATATATTATATTATAAAGTCAATCAAATTTAGAATTTATTAATTAATTATCCAATGTATAAAATAATGTTTTTACTATTAAATTAATGTTTTAGATAGAAGACAATGGATGGCAATTGGAATTTTAGTGGGTATTATTTTAATAACAATTATTCTTTTAATAATTTTGTAAATCATATTATATTTTAACAAAATATTTGATAAAAAGACTGATTTTATTTATTACGATGTATCATATTTACAAATAATACTTTGGTATATTATAATAATTGTTATGTAAGTTTTAATATTTAAAAATCTAGTCTATACTTAATTTTTTTCATATTATGAAAAATTGTGTTTCCAAATTATCTTATATAAATATATCTTTGAAATTCAATATTTATCATTGAAAAGCTATTTGTTTTTTCACTGTTAATTATTATTATTTTTTGTATTTTTCTTCTATCTTACTTTTTTATTTGGTCTATATTAAATACTTATACATATATATATATACATACAGTCAAAAATTTGTATTCATTTAACTTATATTTAATTGGTAAAAAATACAAACATTATCCAAGAAAATTATTGTTTATGTTAATTACTTCAAAGTACCTTGTAATGTAACAAAAATCATAAAACTATAATATAATTATTGAAACGGCAATTTATTTAGTATTTATAGATATAGAACCAATATTGAATATAAGGTGTAATTATGCACGCTGCCGTAACCCTTCACCAATAAAATATCTCATCCCGAAATAAGTATTATAATGCTATACATCAACATTTACGACAATATAAAAGGAGCAATAGAACATCAAGCCAAAACTCGTCTACAAACCTGTGTCCGACAAAACTCGGCCAATTTTATACTTTTTTTTGATAGAAATGAAGTTGATTTAATGTACATAATATGTAAAAAAAAAAACAACAATTTTTTCAATCCTGGCTAAATTTCCGCTGATGTTACCCATCAAAATACAACTAAATCGATTTACGTCGACATATTGAAGTAATACAAGTGTCGATTAAATTTTCAAAATTAAATTCTTTTAACACGTCATTCTCTATTGATAACAATGCCAAACAAACTTTTAAATTTTTCATCAGTTTGAGTCGATTATAGTCGAATAAAATATTAGTCAAATGACTAATTATGCTATGCAGATTAACTAAATTAGTCATCCAGCATAAGCGTGCGCACGGGGTAGTCAGGGTAGGCACTTGATTACTCTGTGAAACTTCCGTCTCTACACCAAAATATTCATAGTTATCATAATAATAAATAATCATATTATGTTCAACCACTTCGAAGCATCCGTAAGCAGTAAATACATGTATAAGAATATTGAAAAAATATTATTATTAAGTTAATTTAAATTACCCTATCCAAATTCGTTGTTAATATTAAATGTAAATATGTATGACTACTTTGCCAGTAATTTCTGCGCGCGCTTATGTCATCCAGTACCAACTACTAATTCGGTAGGAACTAGTCACTTCTGCTCATCACTAGTAGTCACTATAGTAACTGTAATTACAACAATAAATAGAATCTTTATTTTCAAAAAATTTGTCAATTTATGTTTGATTTAAAACATTTTGCAAATCATCACTCTTTATCTTAAAAATGTTCTTATTGTTCATCACTTAACTATTTTTTACTCATTTTCTCAAGAAAAATAATAAGAGTAAAAATAATAAATAAATAATAAAAAGCTAGTAAAGAAAAAAATAAATGGAAAATTATTTACGATTGAAATATTTACACATACGGCAACGGGAACACTGACTAAATTCAGAACAGTTGTTTATTACTAGATAATTTAATTATTAAAATCATTGTTAACGATTTCTTTAATAAAAATTTTCAAATCTTATACATATAGATGGGGATTAGCAGGGTTGGGATTTTATAGCACTTAAAATTGCATAAATATGCGCCATAATATTACCTTAAAAATCGCTAATTAAGCTCTAAAAATATGCATTAAAAATAACAAAAAAAAAAGGAAATTTATAATTTAATAATTTTATACAAGCACATGAGACGAATGTGGACTGTATTAAGCGAATTCTACACTCGTTCTTTGATAATCGGATATTAGTAGATTTAGTAGAAATTGACAAAAAACACCAACAAAATCAGCAAATAACAAAAATTAGAACCAAATAACTAAAACGAAATTATTGTATTACATTATACCTACCTATATATTATCGCTGTAATTGTATAGAGTTGCATCAGCGTAATCGGTCTATTTACTTAATCTGTACATTTATAATTTAAAATTAAAATTAAAATTTTGAGTCTTGAATATTTGATTAACAAAAATCAAAAAACACGTTTACCAAAATAAAATTTCATAAAATATGCCCGATTTTGATTAAAACACAGGTAAACGGCAAAAAAGTCTCAAAAAATCCAAAAAAAGCATTATAAACTAAAAAAACGCAAAATATACAAAAAAAAAAATAAAATTTTTTATTTGAGTTCTCTATATCACGAAAGACATTTTTAGCTTACTCTGTTATTTTTCAAGCATCTTATAAGAAATATGCAAATGCTATAAAATTCCATCCCTGGTTAGTAGGAATTATAAAAATATTTATCTTGTTAACTGTTGGTGAGGTAAGTTATTGTTTACTATTTTTTAATATAGGCGCCGAACCAAATTTTGAATGATCTGTCAATGGTCACCCAATTTACAAATTACAACCCACTCTACCCAAAAACATTCCTTAAAGGTAGTGCCGTAACTAATGTCAAAGACCCAGGTGCAGGTAAATGTACATGGACCTTTCTTTCTTGAGATACATAAAAACGTCTGACTGAATTCAGACTATGGGAATTTGATTACTCCTTAGATAGGATAGTATTTGTGGATGTATTGAATTTTAAAGAACCGATAGATAATTTTCTCACTGAAAAAATTCTGTGTACAACTTCAACTTAGTAGGTAAACAAGATCACCAATGTAATTGGGTAGATTTTATTAATAAAAAAACTTGTAGAATAAAGTACAAAGATAGATAAAATATATAATATGATTATTGATTTTATAAATATGATTTACAATAAAATTTAAAAGTAATCTATTTATGTCACTCTAGGTTTAGTATTTATCCCAATATTTAGATAAACAATTCCAAATAAAACGTACCAGAATTTTACATTGTGTTATATAAATTAATCATGAATCAAATAAAATCAAATTAAAAAAAAAAAAAAAACGGCTATCTACTATGGGCCCTTTGGCCCTGCGGACCCCAGTGCTGTGCACCGCCAGCACTTATGATTTTTACGGCACTGCTTAAAGGGTTAAATCGTGTATACTTGCGATTAGTGAGGGACCGGCTTGATGAGCACTACCGACTAGTTTTGGTTATCGATAGTTTTAGAAAACTATCGAGTATTATTTTATGCATGAATAAATAGTTCTATCGAGTATTTTAGTGCGGATGGTTGATGAAAAATGGATTAAGCTGTTCAATAGTTTTAAGGTACCAAGATAGGTACTAAATAAAACAATACAATTAGTACTAAAAATTATTAATTCCAAATACAATCTTAATTCAATTTTATCCCAGAAAAAATGTTGAATTTCAAATTCAGACCAATATTAAAAATCTACTACATTATCTTCCTTCCTCCACTAGTAAAATAAAATATTGTATGCAGGGATGGTTAATAAGTACAGTGATATATAGGGCCGGCTCAAGGCACGTGCAAACGTTGCATTAGCACCGGGTGGCAATTTTAAGTGGGTTATTTGGGGTGGCAAAAATATTATGCATTTATTGTTTTTTAGTTATTATTTATATAATACCTATTAATAAATATAATACAAATTACTGCATGGCGATCACCAATCGCATAATCACTATCACAACTATATTTTTAAACTCGCATCTCAAACGAGCAATGGACATACGCCGGAATTTCCAGAATTATTTTCGTCATTTTCATTATCTATATTACGACAAATATAAATTATGTTATAGGTAGTATATTACATTGTTTTGATGTATATAAGCATTGATTATAGAATATAACCTATTCTATAATCAATGATATAAGTATTGTAAGTTACAATTTGTAACCTATCGTCTCGCCACATTTTGTATGTTAAACCGAACGAATAGATAGTTTAAATTACCGAAATAGTTCGATAGTTTTCGCTTGGTGAAGCCCATCACTATAATCTATTCAGAATAAGAGTGCCCAATCACTTGGATGAAAACTGATTTTTACTGCGCATGTGTCTCTTCCGCCAGGAACGTTGTAGTATGTCTACGCGTTACGACGCTGTTATACGTAGTGAACTGTATTACCACACTATTTTCGTAACGCCAAGCTTTAGTTATATTTTGAATAACAAGGTTTTTTTTTTTTTGATACTGTATACAAGGCGGTAGTCACCGACTTTGATAAACAACGAAGGCGGTCGAACAATGGCAACATATCTTAGAGCGTCTAGATATAAACGGGTGTCCGACCATTATCGGCTTCTCGGTAGTCATGTGCGAGTTTGGGCACTCTTAGGGTAAGCTCACACGGACCACTTTAGAACCACGCTACGACTGCAAAACGGTGGTCGCTCGTGGTTGATATATTAAAAACATATATAATAATATGAAAAATGCAATTGAACTCAGACGGACCACTTTCTGCCGTCAGTTTCGACTTCAGTCGCATCGTGTCGACTGTATTACCCACGAAATTGTGGTCATCGATGGTTGGAGCGTAACACACATGTTGCGACACGTCAACCACTTTCCGACCAATTGCTACCAGCATTTATTATTTTATATTTATAGAAATATCATTGATATCTGTATAATCTGTACATATATTATTATCATTATTATTTTATGACTAGTGTTATGAAATTTGTCGATTAGTCGAGTTGGTTGAGTTGTTCAGTAGTACATGCTCACGTGTTTAGTGTTCAATACGAGATAAATTATGACTGAACAAAGTGAAAACGACGACGCATTTAACACAGAATTGTTTATAGAAGAATTGCATAATTTACCACGTACTTGGAATTATACCTCGAACAGTTATGGTAATCGTGTTACAAAAGCTAAAGCTTGGGAGTCTCTTTTTATTTAATACGTTTATTTAGTATCAATAAGTTAATATTATTTTCGTTATCACCATTTATCACATAAAATGCGGTTTAATTTATTTGGTAGCCACAGCTATCAATAAAATTAACTTTTCTTTATGAAACACCTCGATAATATTATCAATCAGAACAAAGTAAAACTTAACAGAATGAATAAGTTACAGGGCCAATAACAAGTTTACAGACTGATCTTTATGCAACCCAACCTTAATCTGAACAGATTATAGTCACCACCAGTGGTGGAAAGCGGGTAGAAGACCTTGTAGAGACATCATGGCGCACTAGGGCATCGCGGTGCACACTTTGGGAACCGTTGCCTTAACACATATTACCATAAATAACCTTTGATAAGAAACATGTGCTTATTATATATTTACTGTTGATAATCACATACGTTGATTCAACTTTTTAAGTTTATAAATATATGATTATTGAATTGTTATTTAAGTATTTAATATATTATAATTCTTTATAAATTAATATGGGTGAATATGATAATAATATCAATAAATTAGTTAAGTCTGTTTACGTGTCTTCTGCAGTAAACAGCACTCCAAACTGTTTAGATTGGGGTTCAAACGGATTAGTTATCTATGGTTCCTGTAATGCTATTCACTTATATGATCCTCAAATAATCGTAAGTTATAGTTCAAAAACAATCATACATTTTTTCTTTTCTGATTTAAACTTTACATATTTTTCTTTGTACATTATTCTTATATTAAATATAATCTATTCTGTGATTCTATTTTTTATAATTTGCTCCATTTATTTAAATTCCTAAACTTAAACATTTTATTTTGTTATTTATCATAGTAAGTATAACTGTTGTATAATTTTAAAGTATTTACTACTTTTAATCAATATACAATTTAAAATATTCCAGAATGAAAGTGATGGACGAGTTATATCTTCATTTGTTGCCCATAAAATGCGTGTAAATAGTGTTAAGTGGGTACATAATATAGACCCTTGTTGTCAACAACAAGATTTTGTTTCTACTTCTACTGATAATACTGCTATATTGTGGGAAGATATTCTACCCACAGGATCATATAAGTCTTATGAAAAACTAATTGGTAATTTCTTACAAATTATAGTTATAATGTGAATATTATAATTCCATGTTTGAAAGTTAAATAAAATTAGATACTATAATAATGAAATAACCTCAGATAAATTGAGTATGTGAAATCTATTTCTTTTATTATATTATATTAAACATTAGTAGGTACATATTATATCTTTACTAGAAATCTTTTTATTTCTAATTTGTTATTGAACAATCAATAATATACATGTACCAATTAACTCTAAAAAAAACCATTGTAATATTGTTATTTGTAAATATGTATGTAAATAATATATTATTTATTTATTAATTTTATAAGTACATAATTTTACAATATTTATATCGTTATTTTATTAAAATTCATAGTTATTTGAATAAATAAATAAGCTACATTAAAATATTATTCATATTTTATAGATATTTAATTGAATTGTGTTGTAAAAGTATGAATATTTATATATATATATAGGACATTCTGATGTTGTTACAATTAGTGATGCCTTAAGACTTGCTAATCAATCACTTTATATTGTTACGGCTGCTGGAGATTGTACAGTTAAAGTTTGGTTTAAGCCCATAAATGAAAGTAAGTTTCTTAAATATTATTGAATTTACCATACTAATAAAATTAATATATATTATTTGAAATATATCGTATTCAATTAATGAAAAATTGTGGATATTATATACCTACGATGCATCATATGTAGAGTGTTGTTTTTCTTCAATCAAAATTTTAATATGCAATTATTAGTTTTTCACATACATTTACTTTTAATAACAGTAGAAATATACAAAAAAAAATATATTATTTTAAAGATAATTTTGTAAGCCATTTGTCATTATGAATATTTTGATTTTATATATATATTTTTGGCATTTATAAGTCATTGAGGCTTTTTGCTGCTCCCATAATTTCTCTCCAAACCCTCCAATCATCTTCAATTCTTGTAATTTCTAGGTTTTCCAAATCTTTGTTTACTCAATCAAACCATCATTGGCAAGGTCTGCTCCTTAGTCTTTTTGCGTTAGGTTTGTTGATTAAGACCATATATATAAGTTTGTCCTTTGCCCGCCATACATGTCCTGCTCATTCTAGCCTTTTAGCTTTTAGAAATTTTTTTATATTTGATCTATTGAAAATTCTTTTTATCTCTTCATTTTTTCTCCTTTTTTTATTTTCCTGATTCTTGGATTATTGTAGGGCCATATATTTTTCTTTCAAATATTAAAAGATTTTGTTCATTAACTTTTGATGTTGTCCTGGTTTTTTATGCATACATAATCATAAGGTGTAGGTAAGCTATATATAGCTTTGTTTTATTTTCTTTTTAAAGTAACATTAATGAAAGTTAGGTTAGGTTAGGCTACTCAATTTATGATATTCTTTATTTGCTGTGATGAATTTTAGCTTTATTTCATTACGCATATTATTTTTTTGGTTTATATTAACTTCCAAATATTTTAAATTTTCAACCTGTTAAAATGAGTAATTTCCAGTCTAAGGTTTTTCATAACATTCAGCCTTATCGTAATAAATATGTATTTTTTTTTATTTACATTTATTATAAGTCCCATTTTTTACTTTTTTCTAATAAATCAATTGTGCTTGAAAACAAATCCGTTTTGGATTTTCCAAAGATAACAATGGCATCTGCGTACGAAAAAACGGATTGTTTCCAATAATATACATATCCTTATTGTTTTACATTTTAATTATTACTCTTTCTAAAGCGAAATTGAAAAGTATGGGGAATTCCAATGCTTTAGTCACTTTTTAATCTCTAAAAGACTTGATGTTTCTCTTGAAATATATATAGTTTAAAGTAATTGTGTCCAAATTTTATCTTAATTTCTCTCTCTTGTGTATTCTCTGCCATCCCGAGGCCTATTTATTTATTTATCGATGGCAAAAATATTACATCGTTAACAACTAATTTATAAATACAAAACAACTCATAAGTAACTATATATAAAAAAAAACATTTAACATATATTAGTCACAAGTGAAAGTATAGAATAATGAAATAACAATAACAAAGGATAATAATAGTTTTAATATACTATATATTTAAGTTCATATTTATAGAATTTGGTGCAGATAGAGATGGTTTAGTTTTAGATTTGGATGTCCAATTTTGAGATCCACTTAATTGCTTCTGGTGTGGCCATATGGAGATTTTTTATGCCTTTGCTGAATAATTTCCTTAGACATTCTTTAACAATATGTTCAATTGTTTGTATCGTACTTCTATAATGACATTTTGATTTAGGTCTGAGACTCCATTTACATAACATTTGTCCAGTTTTCCCCATGCCTTGTTTTTATTCTATTTAGTTTGATCTATTCTTTGCGCTGTAAGTGGAACCCTGGCTGTCTGGTTGTTGTATTTTCAATGAGGTTCAGTGTGTCTGAGCTCTTGTCTTTCCATTAATTTATCCACTTGGAATTTAGGTTTAAGCCATCCAATTGTAGGTTTTGGACTAATTTCCAAGGCCTATTATGGCATAAATCATATCCTTTTTGTCTGGTCTTCCCATTCCCATTCTTGTACTTTATTCCTCACAAAATTATTTTTTTCATTATTAATTTCATCCATATTCTTGTCTTCTTTCTATAATTTAATAATTCAATAGTTTTACTATAATATCATGAAAAAAGTAAAATAAAATAACGTATGTATGTGATAGTCATCAATAGTTATAATCATACAATGTTTATTACAGTTTTCATTAATCGAGTATTTAATTAATTAATTAATTAATTATTAATTTTTAAAATATAAATGTCTTTATTGATGAATTATTTATTTTCAGATAAATCATTATGTTTTCAAACCTTTGATTTTGATAACATACTATGTTTGTCTCTTAAAATCACTGTTTTACCTCATACTAATTGTATACTTTTGGCATGTGGTTTATCAAACAGTAAAATACAGTTGTATACAAATGATTTTAGCAACAGTAGTTCAGTATTTGTTACCAGTCATTCTTTAGTTGGACATGAAGATTGGATTCGTTCATTGGATTTCATATCAGAAAGTAAATATATATTTAATTGATGATATAAATGATATAATAATATAAATTTTAAATTTAAAATTCATTAATGGTATAATGTTAGTACAGATACTACTTGTTTTTTTTTTATATTGTAAAAATATTTTTCCTAATTTATCATTATATTAAAATATTTATAATATGTATAAAAAAAAAGAAAATACAAAAACTTATATTCATGCATTGAAAATTATTCACATTTTTATATTATTTTTACCTTATTATACTATAATTTTTCTACAAAAAAAAAAATACTCATTTTTATAATTGTGTATACTCATTTTATTCTTAGATAATTCAGGAAATTTATTTCTGGCTAGTGGTTCTCAAGATTCTGTGATACGATTATGGAAATTTACAAAAGAAAATAATGATAATACTTGCAAAAAAAATAAAGAACTAAATAATACATTAAGACAAGAAATCAAAAAAATTGATGTCATTATGGACCCTGGCTCTATTTGTAGTTTTATCATTGAATTAGAAACTGCTATATCAGGACATGATGGTTGGATTTATGGAGTGCATTGGAAGCCTAATTTTAGCCATGGTATGTTTTAAGAAACAGTAGTTTTAGTTACTTATGTTTTATTTTATAGTTTCAATATATTATAGGGAAACAAATTGAGTTACTTTCAGTGTCAATGGATAAAACATTAGCAGTTTGGGCATATGATGAAGACACATGTCTTTGGGTTGATTTTATACGGTTGGGTGAAGTTGGTGGTAATACATTAGGCTTTTATGGTGGAAAGTTTTCTCCTGATGGTGATTGCATATTAGCTCAAGGACACAATGGATCATTACATCTATGGAAAAAAGTATATAGTCTAAACAAGCTACCAAATTTTAAGTATTAACATTCTGGTTATTTTTTTGTTTTAGAATAATAACGGTAATTGGACTCCTGGAGTTACAATTGGGGGTCATTTTGGATCTGTTGAGGATATTGCTTGGGATCCAGCTGGCAAATATATTATTTCTGTTGGTACTGATCAGACTACCAGAATCCATGCACAATGGTTACAATCTAATGAACAAGTTATAAATTTATCTTCATTTGTATGTTTATTCAAAATATTTATTGGTTTTTTGATATTTCTTATTACTGAAACATTGATAAATATATGTCATGAATCTAGTTTCTACATTTGAACTATACAGCTAAATTTTTATTTAATAAATTTCAAGTTTTTATCCAGGAATTCTATGTTTTAAATGCTTGGGCAGAATGTTAAATATACATTAGTCTATATCTAAAACATGGAATGCTTTTAAAAATTGAATTTTTGTTGTTTTCTTTTATTCAAAATTTCTTTCCTCAGTATTGTTACAAGTTTTTATTTATCATGAATTCCTTAATATCTCATAATTACCAAAAAAATATTTTAAATATGCTCATATATTTTAGAACTGGCATGAAATGGCACGACCTCAAGTTCATGGATATAATATGTCTAGTGTTGCTATTTTGTCTAGTTTAAGTTTTGCATCATCGGCTGAAGAAAAAGTCATACGAGTATTTCAAGCTCCTTACAATTTTTTAGAAAATATGAGTAAATTGGCAAAAATAAATTTTTCTTCTGTTGGTAAATACTAATTATTTATAAAATAAATAAAAACATCTTTATAGATTTTTTTTTTTTTTTAATTGAAAATTTATACTCTGTAACATGTACAATAAGCAAATAGGATATTATGATGTCACGATTATTTATATGATAATAAGTATGAGGATTATGAGGCTGTCTAGTGACAGAACCATCATACAGTATTATGGTTGGGAATTTAATAAATCTTTGCTCCAATGTATTTTTAACTGACGGGAGGTTAGACAAGTGAGCTCCTCCTTAAATGGCTATATAAGAGGGTTGGTGTAAGAAAAATTTTCTGTAATGGATGGATGTAACTGTGTTAATGGTTTCAATGTTGAGGTCATTGTGAAGTGAGTAGTTGGAAACATATCAAGGTACAGAAGTCAGTTATTTATGGTATTGGAATGTTTTAATTGTTTTTATTTGGAATTTAGTACAGTCCCACTCTGTATTCCGTAAGTCCATATGGGTTTTAAGATTGATTTATTTTAACATTCATTTAATTATTTTATTGTTGAGGAAAGTATTTGATTTAAGAATAGAACGGATGAAGTGTAGCTTACTGTTCATTTTTTTCCTTGTTGATTTTAATGATTTTAAATGTGAGCTCCAAGTGAGATGTTTGTTTTATATTGTCATATAATATTGTATTTTTCTTTAATATTTTAAAGATAACATGAATTGTCCACTTGGTGCTTCTGTTCCATCACTTGGTTTATCAAATAAAGCAGTATCTAAAGATGACTGTAAAAATATTTCTAGTCAACCGAAAAAAAAAGATTATCCTGAACATTATTTTATGCCTTTGAATTTAAACCGTGAGTTTTTTTTATAATATGAATCATTAAATTTTTTAGTTATATTTTTAAAAATTATTTTTGATAATAAGTAACTTGTACAAATAATATTTTAATTATTTTATTTTTTTATTTTTTTATATTGGCAGTAAAATAAGTTGTTCCTAGTTGCAACTATCTACATCTATAAATATTTACAATTGTACATTTTTAACTATTTGAACATGATTATTAATTATTTTAATTCTTACTACTACATAATATAAATTGCTTGATGATTCTTCTATTTTTTTTTTTTTTTTTTGCTTATTCGAAAGCATATACAATTGTCTATTTTTCATACAAACTGTTCTCCCACCTTTTGCTTACATAGACCTGCTACCCTTAGTTTGTCTTCAATTTCATCAATCAATTTCTAAGGTTTTTTCCTCTCTTTTGATACTTTTAATTTTTTCTGCCAGACCTTTCTTCATAAAAATAAAATATCTAAATCATTTTAAGTTTTTGAGTATTTTATAAATGTTAAATGTTTAAACCAAAGTTATATATTATACTATTCACTTTTAGAACCCCCAACTGAAGAAGATTTAATACAAAATACTTTATGGCCAGAAATTCAAAAGCTTTATGGTCATGTATTTGAAGTGTACTGTTTAGCATCTTCACCTAATCATAAATGGTTAGCCTCAGCAGCTAAAGCAACATCATTAGAATTAGCTTCTATAATAATATGGTAAAATTAACTAAAAATATTTTCATACATGTGTTAAAAATTTAATAGTGTACATTAAAGAATTATTAGTTATTTAATAATTTAAAAATGCTTTTTATATTTTCTAATTTTTTTTATTTTTAAGATTCTATTGTTTTTAAAAATGTAAAATATATAGTTATTGTTACAATTTATAATTATTTAATTTTTATTTTTAGGAATGCAAATGATTTTCAACAAGTACAAAAGTTGGTATCACATAATTTAACTGTAACTCAGTTGGCTTTTTCACCAGATAGTAAAAAACTTCTTTCGGTCTCACGTGATCGTACTTGGTCATTATTTGAATATGATCTGAATACCAACTCTTTTGTTCTTAAAAGTAAATCAGATAAATATACTGGTATTCATACTAGAATTATATGGTGTTGTGCTTGGAGCCATAATTCTGTATACTTTGCTACGGGATCCAGAGATGGAAAGTTAGTGATTTGGGGTCAAACTGTTGTTGACGACCAAATTTCTTATTGTGCCAAAACTGAACCTTTAGTAGATCCAGAAAAGAATTTTACAGCTGTAGCCTTTGCTCCAAAATTAACTGATGGATGTAGTTCATATATATTAGCTGTTGGCTCAGATTGTGGACATATTGCTATATATAAATGGAACTTTGAAAAAAAATCAGTTACGCCTTGGTTTAAACTTACTGATTTATGCAAAGAGTATCCTTTTCTATAATAAAATAATAAATAATTAATTTATGATGTAATGATGTATGCATGAACTATAACTTCTATTAATAAATTTATTTATCCTTAAATTCACTACAATTTTAGATTGGGGCATCACTTAACAGTAAAGAAAATTCAGTTTCAACCATTACTGTCTAAAACAGACTCAAGGTATAGAGAAGGTATTTTGCAGATGGCGTCTTGTGGTGCAGATATGATGGTGAAAATTTATGATATATTCTTAAAACACTTTTGATTGACCTCTCTTAAATTAATTATAAATTATTAAATTATAATACATTATATAAATAAATGTAAATCAAAATAAAAGATGAATGTATATATATATGTGTGTATATTATATTATTTATTTTAGATGTATCTATAAAACTTTTATTTAGTAATATTGATTTAGTATTTATGATCCATATTTGTACATTGCATATAATAATTATTGTCTATAATAAATTCATATTCTTAATGTTAGAGCTAAACTGATGAACTATTAAATTATTAATTGATCTAATGTTATATCATTGCTTATAGAATAAACAGATAGCCCATGATGTAGGGGTATTTGGCTACTAAAATGATATGTACATGAACTATTAATAGGTAATGTTGCATAAAGGAACAAATCATTTTTCTAAAAATTTAATTTTTGTCCTTAATGGCGCACAGTGAGATAGAATAAAATTTAAGTGGCCAAAAATAATAAATAAAATAAAATAATAAAATTTAAAATATTATAATACATTATTAAAAACCACCCTTCTTCTAAACCTTCACTCTTCCCATTTTTCTTCATCCCATACTCGTAGACCAATGGCCCTCATATAATTCTCAATTGTATCTAACCATCTATTTTTTGGTCTTCCTTTTTTGGTCATTTCCCTTCAACATTCATTTTCATAACATATCTTACTGCATTTGTTTCCTCTCGTCTCATTGCATTCCAATATCATTTCAGTCTATTTTCTCTCATCTTGTCCATTATAGACGCTTCGGTAATCGGTCAAAATATCTAAATTTATCCGTTTTTCCAGAAAATTATTATCAAATTATTTAATTGACTTTTTAGTAGCAATAATATCACAGTTATTATCGATTATGACCGTTATGGGTATTGTTAAATTGAGATATCATTCTGTTTTGACTTCTGTTTTTTACTGTTGGGTTTGATAAATTGGCCAGTAATAGTAAATTGAACGAATATTTAAACGGTAATAAATCGCAAACGGATTACTGAAATTAAATTCTGTAAACGTTAAAATTATTTTTTTTAGTATGTTTATAAATTTTCGCTATCGAAAATTGGTATAGCCATTTGAAAATCGAAAGTTGATAATGTTTTATCAAATAAGGGAGGAAGTTAAAATTATCAAAATTGTAACATAGTGTAAAATAGTAAAACCTATAGTTTTAAAATAAAATTATTTTAAAATTCCTAATACTTCCCGAGATATTAACTGGTTCACGATAAAAAAATCACCCCTGTATTTTGTGATATTATAACGATTAACGTAATTTATTATACTTTTAGTAATATAAAGTGTATATAGGTTGAATTAATTTTATGAACTAATTTTTTTAATTTAATATTGTCAGAAAATGTAGGTTTTTTTATGATTAAATAATTTGATATTTGAGCTAGTTTTATTAGAAAGTATAATGTAATATACTAATTTTCGGAAAAACGGATAAATTTGGATATTTTGATCTAGATTCAGACTCTACACCGGTACTACCTCTCACATACTCATTCCTTATTTTATCTTCTATTGTTACTCCACTTATTCATCTAAGTATTCTCATTTCCGCAATACTCATAGTCTGTCAGTTGCCCAACAATCCGAACCAGTGGCGTAGCTAGGATTTTCTGAAGGGGGGTGTTGATTATAATTATTAAATATTATATATAATACGTACGAACTAAAACTTTTATTTTAATTAATTAAAATGTATACAAAATGTCTGTAGTAGAGATGTAATGTATATTCGAATTCGGATAGCTTTACCATAAATTATTCGAATATTTGACTATTCGAATATCAGTATTCGATGCTACAATACCTATTATTATTAAACGTTTCGTGTTGCACGAAAACGTAAACGAATAATTTTCGTCACGTATTGTCGCAATCGCCATAATGTTAACCTGTATATATGTAATTAGTATTGTGCATTATTTTATATTTCATATTGTATTATCGATTTACCTATATTCCTATAATAATGTAATATATGATACAACTCAAGGGGAGTGTCATATCTGCCAAACACCCCCCTTGTATACGCCACTGATCCGAACCATATAGCTCAGTTGGTCTCACTTTACTGTAAATTTACCTTTCAACCTCATTGGAATTCTCTTATTGCATAAAACGCCCAACGTTTCTCTCTATTTCATCCAATCGCTTTTTAATCCTATGTTTTATAACATGGATGTATACATCCATGCCAAAATTCCGTCCTTTTGTACAAATTACCCTAAATATTCAAAGTTCTCGACTTCATCTGTCACATCACCTTTTATCGTCTTTGGTCACCTCATACCCTCAACTTCTTTATATCTTCCTCTTAAGCAGCGATACTCAACCTGCGGCCCTTCAACGATTTATATGTGACCCAAACAGAAATCATTGAATTGATTATAAAATATAAATTTTTAAACTTATAAATATAAAATCGGTGTAAAAAAACAATGAAAATGTGTCGCAAATTCAAAAATGAGTTATGCAAGGAATGTGTACAGAAATTGGCTTACTGATTCACATCTTGACCACTTGTTAAGAGTAGCTTGCAACAACTACAAAATTTTTTGTATCCAATTTTGGCTTACCCTTTGTCCTTTTTTACCATACTCTTGATAGTTTTATTTTAAAAGATGCTGTCACAAGATCATCCGAGTCTCCGTGAGCTCCCCGGAAGCTCCTAACTTGTATTACACAGTTCCTATGTCTTCTGTTAATTAAGATATTTATCTAGTCGATTTGACTTTTAAACCTCTCATCTGGAAAAGTCCAAGTATGTTTATGTATTTATTTTTGTTGGAACTGGTTGCTGTTAATTACTAAGTTTTTCGATGCAGCGTCTTTTAGTCTAATTCCATTACAGTTACTCTCTAGGTGTAAGTTTTTTCTTCCCCGCTGTACGTTGGAAGACTTCTTCAAGTCAAACTTGATCATTTAGGTCTCCGACCATGATTAATATATTGTTTCTGGGAAGGTTATCGAAAGTTTTTTCTAACGAGTCGTAAAAGTCGTCCTTTGTCTTATTATCAGCCGACTCCATTGGGGCATAGCAGTTATGTACAGTGGTATTTTGGAAAAAAAACTAGAGGGTATACGCGTATTTAAGGATTTATAACAATGACTATTGTATATTCATTAGGATCAAGACTTATCAGATTTTATCACTCAAAAAGACGCTCGCGAGTATTCAAGTCTTTTCTGGATCTCATGTTCACATGTATAAACTAATATAAAAAAAAAAAAAAATGTTTATTTATTTTATCCCATATTATTTCTTAATTTATCCACAGATATATATGTAATTGATGTAATTGATCACGGATAACAATAAATTGAAGATTACAAATGTTTATATGAACGCCAGCGCATTCAGTTATCACAGTGGCGTAGCCAGGATTTTTAAATTGAGGGGGCTAACCACTTTTTTGGATAAGTAAGGTGAAAGAGAATATGAAAATTCACCCTTATCAAATATAATTAAAATATTGATAACAATAAAATATGAAAACGACCTATATGAATAAATATCAAATGAAAAATTATTTTTATATTTTAAAGTTTTCTTTCTCCAAGTTAAGAATGAATTCAAAATGTTTAACTAATATTTAACTAAAACTAGTTATGGTTCATGAACCACAGATAAAAATGCTGTATGTAAACAAATTTTTAATTGTTTCCGCCAGGTACTTATACATTATTTGTAATTTATATTTCATCTAATCGGTATATAAATCAGTAAATCTAAACATATTGTATATTTTGTGCAATACTTTTTACTATTTCCATAGCTAAAAATGAACTCAGTATACATAATTTATGATAAAAAGGTTTATTATAAACCTATTGACACTATTGTATTGTGGACTGTAGTTTCTGGTTCATGGAAATAACAAATACAGTCGTATAAAGTATAGACTTTAGTATGATGACCGAATTTTATAAACAAATTCTCTACCATGCGCGCAAATAATTTTTCTAGAAAAGAATTATTCTTTGATACCATTCGACCATTCGAGTACTTTTGATTTTTGAACCATTATGGCGGTTAATAAATGACTTAATGCTATACATTCGATACCAGTATTTTTTTATCGATACAAGTAAAGTATTGATAGATACAAAAAGTACTTGTATCGAAAGAAATGTATCGATACTTTTTTAATATCAGTAGTATCGCAACATCCATAATCACGAGGGCTCTTCTGTAAATTGTTGTCTTTTCGTGAACACTGATAGTATGTTTATGTTGCTGTGATGTTTCAAACACCGTTTTAATTTGTTTCCTTGTCAATCAATCTTGTTGTCCAACAATGTTTCATAGCGACCCTTCTATAGGTCAGTGACTAAATGTACCTTTCGGCCAAAAGAAGAGGAACAATGGCGAAACGTCACACATGATATGGCAGAACTTGCATTTTATTCCTTCTACACCCGATTATTACATTTTTTATTTACTTAAACCACTAAAATGTCAAATCTTCAACATAGTGGCAACTTGAGGTAATTTATGTAAATATTAAACTTTATCTTCTATTCAAAATAAGAAAATAAATATATATATTTTTTATAACTTCCAAGGTAAAAAATTCCATTAAACTATTTTATGTTCTCCTTTCATCATATACAACAATTATTGTTCAATAATCTTTTTCAGAAATGCTCCTGCGAAGAGTGTCCTTGATGTGGTGATATAGATATTGGCAAATAGTGGTGTATCAAGTCGACTGAGTGATCCAGTAATAGCTAAAAATTTCTCATTATTGATTGATATTAATGGTATTAAAGATGACATTAAAGAATTTTCAAGGTCTGAATGCTATAAAAATTTGTAGAAGTAAATATTTCCTTTTAATAAAAATATTAAATAACTTATTACTTTTCATAAAACATTAATTATTCATATAAACATTTAAACTTGATTAATAAAAAGTCAGAAATAAATCATAAATTTAAATATTTTTTTATATTTCTATAATATTTTAATAAGTTATAAAACAATCATATTTATACCATTAAAAATGAAAAAGAGATCTCCGACTCCCAGAGGAATTTTGATTTAGGTAAATGAAAAAAAAAATCTCAGTTTTGAAATAAACCATAAAGAAAATTGAATTATAATAATATTATTTGGTTATTAAAGGAAGTAATTATATAAAGAATATATATAGTTAATATAATTTATTTAAAATTTTTAAATTATTTTAAGTAAATTACAAAATTATCATGTATATACCATTGAAAATGTAAAGTGGAAAATGAAAAAAGGTTACTTAGCTCCTGAAACTATTTTGATTTTGATAGATGATAAAAATATCCCAGTTCTGAAAAGAAAACATATCAGATTTATTAAGATAATTTATGTAAATTATTGAAATTTGATTTTTATCCCATAAAATATTTTAAGTCTAAAATTCAAAAACCAAAACGAAAAGGGGATCCCCGGCTCCCAGAGGAAAATTGATTCGGGTGGATCCAAAAAAAAAATCCAGGTTCTGAAAAAGAAACATAAAAA